GCTCCTGCAGGAGGGGCCCGCCTGAGGGCAGCCTGGGGCAAGAGCAGCATGGAGACCTGGCCACTGGGGCTCTCAGTAGCCCCACTGCCCCCAGCTTTGGTGGAGGTCACCTGGAGTCTTAGCTGGGGTGAAGCGAAGTTGACTTGGTGTCCCTGTTGCAGCCTCCTTGCGGCCAGGCCAGTGTGCCGTTGGGCTGGTTCACCGCAGCTCTCCAGCCAGCTGAGCCCTGGGGAGACTGGATCGCCAGCAGCTCTGGGCCGAGAGGAGGGAAGTGCCCGCGACTCCAGCAGGTGGCGCCGGAGGCCGGAGTAAACCCGCCAGCGGCGGGCTGGGCTGACAGCAGGACTGCCGGCAGGGTGGTGTAAATGGGCCCGGCTTCTCTTGCCCAGTCACCGCGGCCCAGTCCCTAACGACAGAGGGATGAGTGTAACTGGGGCTCCGAGCCTGCCCTTTGCCTGGACGTTGTCCATCAGGAAGGGAAGCGGGCAGGGGATAGGAGAGGCGAGTCTGGGGCCCAGGTTTCTGGAGGGCTTCACTCCTGGGGCTCCTCCAGCAGACCTCCAAGTGGGATGTATGTAGGCGGGAGCTACTAAGGATGGCACTCTGCGCACTCCATCGCCTTAGCTTTGTGTGCCTCCAGGCTTCCTGCGGTGGCGGCCAGCGCCTGGCCTGCACACAGTAGTGCTCAGCGCCTGATGGATGCTCCCCAAGCCCCCCCTTCCTCCATCCTGAGAACTCCTGAGGGCATAGCCTAAAGTACTGTGGGTTCTGGGGGACTGTGAATGGAAGCCAGGCATCTCCAGTTGCGTGACCCGAGGTCCCCGTAGTCTGTGCCCCTACGGGAAGACATTTGGGACTAGAAACAGAGGGATGGGAGCAGATGATAACTTTCTTTGGGTCGACCCTGGAGTGGCAGGACCCTGATGCCCAAAGGAACACCTTACCCATAGCTGTCGCCACAGCCTTGGGCACACACTAGGACATCAGGGAACATCCAGTTGGCAGCTGGCTAGGGTTCCCAGGGCCAGGTCTGAGGGTATGGTTGCCTTTTGTTAGGTGTCAGTAGCCTCAGGCTGTAGAGGGCAAAGCCCAAGCCTGGAACTTGCTGAAATGTCTGGGAGTGCAGGTCAGACTAGCTCTCTTTCTAGGATCACTCCCCACTTCCTTCAGCATGTCTGTTGCAAAAGGTCTTGGAAGAGAAAGGTGAAGGAAGGGGCTGGCTCCAGCTGAGGATGGCAGGGGAGGAGAGGTCCTGCTAAGAGGTGGCAGCAGCTTGTCTCAGGTGTGCCTGCAGGAGAGGACCAACTTTGCCCTGGATGAACTCTCTCTCAGGGAGCACATGCCTGGTTGGGCTGGGCAAGGAGATGGGTTTGGGGAAGGCTGAAGGGGATGGAGTCCTGCTCTTATTTGAGGACTTCATGGTGTATATGAGTGAACATGGGGGGTGAGGCAGCTCTGTCTTGTGTTCCGTAAAGTGATTAGAGTGCAAATGCAAGGCTGAAGAGGCATCCACTGTGACCCTAATGGCTCTGAGGCAGCTACTGCTGTGTCCCCCCTGCAGTGCCCTGGGTCCCAGGCAGCACCTCAGCTTTCTGCTATCCCCAGCTTCCTCTGAGAAGCCCTGAGCTAGGCAGAGCTAGGAGAGGGACGTAGCCACC